GACTTTACTGCTGACTCGTAAAATACACACACACACACACACACACACACACACACACACACACACACACACTGTTTCAGTATTACAGTTTAATGACAGCCAATGTGATTTTGCTGAACAAGACCAACAGAACGGAGCTGAATGTGAATGATCTGTAAACATGAAAATCACTCATTCTTCTACTCTAAACGAGCATGAATGGAATTTTCCTTTTTACAGTATTTATTTATTTTATTTTTTTCATGTATATTAACTGTATTCATATGAATTTTATTATTGAAATTAATTTTACTTATTTTATTCATTTTATTGAATTTTACTTGTTTTATTTATTTTAAACAAACACTTATTGTACATAATATTTCCTAAATATTAACTAAAAAATAATCAGCAATTTATTATTTGATAATACTTATTATTTAGTTATTTGTTTATTTATTTTATTTAATGAACTGTATTATTTGTATTCCTTTGAATTCAATTTTAGTGAATTTTATTTATTTTATTGTAACGAATTTCATTTTTATTTTTGATTGTATTAATGAATTAGTATTTATTTTAAATGAACACTTATTGTACGTAATATTTCCTCAAAAAACAGTCAGCAACAGGACGTATCTAGTCTATTAATCCAGTAATGTATGAGTGTATCGCTGGAAGAGACTGGTGTGACTGAAGAAGTGTGAACAGATTTTGTTTGTGGACTGCTATGAAGCACTGCCTCGCTCCGTTCTTCTGTAAGCTCTCTGTATTAATGCTGCTTGGTCCGGCAGCGCGCTTGAACTTTTCCAAACAGTCCAGCAGTTGTCCAGACCACATCTTTGAGTTCAGTTCGATCCTTCACTTTCACTGACTTCTGATTCGTCTCATAGAAATATAGTGCGAAATGTATTTGTTTACATCATAATAACATTTCTTTGTTTTGAAAACCTTGTGTATTTCCTGTTGAAATGAGACAAAAGCGGCAGATTTTCAGCGTTTGGATCCTGATGTACAAAATGACTTTAGGTTGAGTATTTTTTAAATGCGTCTCTGTATTTGTAGGGGAAGCCGGATCTGAACACGGCGCTGCCCATCAGACAAACAGCCTCCATCTTCAAACAGCCGGTCACTAAAGTGGTCAATCATCCCAACAACAAAGTCAAGACAGACCTCCAGAGAGCCACGGAGCAGCCGCGACAGGTGCCTTCATCACATATTCACACTGGAAGCGTTTTACAGCGTCACAGCAGCAGCTCCAAAGCCACAGATTTCTTTACAAAGACAAACATAAACTTGAAAGTTTTAAAGTCTTGAAAGGTTGTTAACACGGGGATTCACATGTAAAATCACAGCTCCGGTCATGTCTCTTCAGTCATACTTTGATATAGAACGTGCTGTTTTTCATGTTTTTTTTTTATTATTACACCATACCATACATCGGCAGCCATATCACCCTGTAGCCCAAGACTGGTTGCCCACTGAAGCTAAGCAGGGCTGAGCTGGTCAGTACCTGGATGGGAGACCTCCTGGGAAAACTAGGTAGCTGCTGGAAGAGGTGTTAGTGAGGCCAGCAGGGGGTGCTCACCCTGTGGTCTGTGTGGGTCCTAACGCCCCAGTATAGTGACGGGGACACTATACTGTCAACAAGCACCGTCCTTCGGATGAGACGTTAAACCGAGGTCCTGACTCTCTGTGGTAATTAAAAATCCCAGGATGTCTTTCGAAAAGAGTAGAGGTGTGACCTCGGCATACTGGCCAAATTTGCCCATTGGCCTCTGATCATCATGGCCTCCTAACAATCCCCATATCTACTGATTGGCTTCATCACTCTTTCTCCTCTCCACCAATAAGCTGGTGTGTGGTGGGCGTTCTGGCGCACTATAGGGGAAGTCGTGGCCTAATGGTTAGAGACTTGGACTCGTAACCCAAAGGTTGCGGGTTCGAGTCTCGTGCCGGCAGGGATTGTAGGTGGGGGGAGTGAATGTACAGCGCTCTCTTCCACCTTCAATACCAC